TGTTTGTTTGTTTGTTTGTTTGTTTGTTTGTTTGTTTGTTTGTTTGTTTGTTTGTTTGTTTGTTTGTTTGTTTGTTTTGTTTGTTTGTTTGTTTGTTTGTTTGTTTGTTTGTTTGTTTGTTTGTTTGTTTGTTTGTTTGTTTGTTTGTTTTGTTTGTTTGTTTGTTTGTTTGTTTGTTTGTTTGTTTGTTTGTTTGTTTGTTTGTTTGTTTGTTTGTTTTGTTTGTTTGTTTGTTTGTTTGTTTGTTTGTTTGTTTGTTTGTTTTGTTTGTTTGTTTGTTTGTTTGTTTGTTTGTTTGTTTGTTTGTTTGTTTGTTTGTTTGTTTGTTCGTTTGTTTGTTTGTTTGTTTGTTTGTTTGTTTGTTTGTTTGTTTGTTTGTTTGTTTGTTTGTTTGTTTGTTTGTTTGTTTGTTTGTTTGTTTGTTTGTTTGTTTGTTTGTTTGTTTGTTTGTTTGTTTGTTTGTTTGCACTGTTTTTTTAATACAAATTTGAAATACTGCTCATTTTCAATCAGTACTGCACAAAGTGTGCAATATTGCATGCACAGTAGCAAAATAGGCCCTTTTATTGCCTAGAGAATATAGATTCGATTCGAGTACTGTTGATTTTGAGAATAACAGCTGAATATTCTTTGATCAATTTTTAATTATTTAAACTCACAATTCGAAACAATGAAGAATCTTTAAATTACATTCCAGAAGTAATAAATAAATACAGTATAGTTTTCTTCTAGTATCGAATGTGATATCCTACGAAAACACACGTCAATATAATGGCCGTACATATCGGTATGTTGTAACATCTACAAGTGATCCAAGCAAATGGGTCGATTTCTACACTGCTGAAAAAGACTGTAAAAAATGGGGAGGGCATTTGACAAGTATCCATACTGATCAAGAATTCAACTTTGTCAAGGTATTAAGTATAATTTACTATCTACAGAATGAATGAAAATGACGGAGTCCTACTCTTAAGCTGAATTTTTCACTGCATAATTCTATAATTTATTATTGCATGTGCACGTGTAGCCTGTGTCCCAGTTAGTGCACGTGTATCTAATTCGCGGACATATATCATATATACTAACAAAGAATTATTGACCCAAAGATTAAGTATCCCACAATGTACAATAATTCCAGAAGTCCTGTGTACTAAAAATTGCGCGACATATTAAGTACTTCTAAGATCTATTGATCGTTGATTGTTGCGCAGAGCGTATATCAGATGTGATGTTGATTGTTGTTTTTTAAGCCGAGTGCATGCAACCCTACACTTAATGAGGACAATGAGCATAAGCTCTGCAGCTAATAAATAATCCAACTCTGAATAAAAGCGTGCAATGCTCGATGCAGCTCATTTGATAATTCTCTATTCTTGTAAAACACATACACAACGGTATTTATCGAAGATACATCAACGGTGCAGCAAACACATTATGAGGCAACCGCAGAAGGTCAACCATCTAACCCACCTCAGTTCCTTATACAGTGGAAATTCTACATGTATTAAAATTGCATGTCATTGGAACATATATTATAAGTATACTCGGGAGGTGGGTGGTGCTTTTTGTGCAATTTGATTGGTTGCTCAGTTCTGGATATCCTTGCACTATATCCGAACCAAAACAAAATGCCATCCCGTTTTCCTCCGGTTACACGGACAAGCAATTTTTTTACTAAACTAAGTTGCGGTTCCGCCAAATACAAAAAAGCGACAAAGTTTTGTTTAAACGCCTACTTACATTACAAAAACTTTTGGCTAAACTGTCGTATGTAACCTGCTTAATTATAACTTTAGTTGTACCTACGGTGTAAATTGCTTACACAGCTCGCCTACGATATATGTTGTCGTAAGCGAGTTGTGTGCTTGACTCAATTTGTATGCAGGTTTCATGCGACATACAATAGAGGTATTCTTTAAAACTGGTTCTAACGAATAAAATTAGTAAAAGTTTGTAAATACTGTTATGTTTACAACTATTACGGGAGTTCATGCGGGAGTTGTAACACAAATTGCATGTTTCAAATATATTTTCGTGTTTTTGTCATGGTATAATATCAATTAGTATGGTATACATATGTGCTCATTGTCAGTGAATAGTGCAACGATATTCACCTTCGCGTCTCGGCGGAATTATCTGCAATCTATATTTGAATATTAAAATGTAAATTGGGTATAGAAGAAGATGCCAACTTACGGCGTATCCATGCATTAGCATTGCAGTGTAAAAATATTATTTTTTCTTGTTGTATAGTCGCTTGTTACGAGAAACGCGCTGACATACGTCGGTTTTGATGTGAACCGCTGGTCAGATGGCACGACGGTAGACTACTCTTGTTGGAAAACGACGCCGGGCACGAAACTGACATATAGACGAGGGTCAAGAAAAGTGAAACAACCAGCATATATATGTCGCAAATGATTAACCAAAGAATATTGTCTTGGCCTGAATATTGAAACGATCCAGAGTTTCTTTAACATTATTATTATTAATACTAGTGTATGCATGAAAACGTACGAAGCGTCGGGGGGGCGGGGGGCGGGGCAGAGGGGCTGCATCCCAAGCACGAAATATGTTAGGTTTCTAAAAATTCGAACCTCTTCCTCCCCCCCCGCTCCCCCCGATGATACGTTATAAGACAATGTTATGCTAATATGAACTTAGGAAAGTAATTAAGAATTATAATGTAACATTTAGAATTAGAATGTAACGACAAGAAAACCGATTGTCTTTAAATCAATTAAATGGACTGACACAAGGCTTACTAAACACGAAGCAGTATACGACAATTGCATAATATTTATTTTCCAGACGATTTCAAAGCATCGATAATTAGCCGAGTAGATTATTATTTTTGACTCCATTAATTTCGAAGTTTGGAATACACGACTCTTTAAGTGCGCCACTATAATTCAGATTTGGAAAGATAGTGGCAGTGCGCATGGCGTGCCTTTGAATACACTCAAGATCGTCTGACAAGTAATTAGGAATATTTCGATGGAACAATTAACTGACACGATTCGAATGTTCTAGGACTGATCTAATAATTCTACAATAAAAAGTAGTAAGACCTCTAGTGGAAATCCCGGCCCAGTAGGTACATGCAGGCACTTTACATGCAGAGCATCACAAAATTAGCAATATTCCAGGATTTCGTTGCGAAATGTTGTAGAATGCGGATAATATAGCCTTGCGAAGTTTGCAATTTTCACCATTTTGTATTACGCGGTAAGTGGTGACTATTTCCCGTTTGTATACAAAATGACTGAAAATTACAAATTTAGCAAGGCTATATAGTATCCACATTTTACAACATTTCGCAACGAAACTTTGGAATATTACTAATTTTGTGATGCTCTTTCAAGCTGTGATGAATTTTTGTTTAGGCTAGTTGAGATCAAAATTTTGGAAAAGTGGTATACCCGTTTCTCGCTCGTATACAAAATGACTGAAAATTGCAACTTTCGCAAGGCTATCATACACGGCCAAGTTCGCGCAACTTGCAGCAAGTCTGTCATCAGGCCGCATGCGAATTGTTGCCATCAAGCCCCATCTCAGAAGCGTTCGCTCGGCTTGTTGCGGCTTGACGATACTTGCCCGCATCAGCACGACAACAGGTTTGCTGCAATTTGATGTCGACAGACCTGTCGCAATGGCGATGACAACAGACTTGCTGCAAGTTGTCGTTAACAGACCTGTCGCAATGGCGATAACAACAGACTTGCAGCAATTTGATGTCGACAGAGCTGCAGCATTGGCGATGATAACAGACTTGCAGCAAGTCCGCAGTTGACATGACAACCAACGATTAAACATGCACTCGTTATTCCCGCGTGTTTTCACACATCAGAATTCAAAATGCAAAAAACACTCGCTTCAAAGTACTTTAGATCATTTTATTTATCGTATATGTAACTGATCATAATACAATTTTACATGTGAAATTACAATAAAGGCAAAAACATTGCTAATATATACTGAAACCGATGAAATATACTTCACTATTTCAACGCTTAATCAATTCGTATTTTCGTAGCTGATAGTGATAGTCATAGACAATATCAAAGCCATAAACAATGCTGTTTATATAAACTACAGGGGCCGGTTGTACGAATGGTGGATCAGAATCGCTATCCGGTCGGGATAAGTCGCTATCCAGCGGATAAATTTTATCTGGAGTGAAAATCGCGTTGTACGAAGCTTGGATAGCGCTATCCAACGGATAAAAATGCACTATCCGTTGGATAAATTTATCCGAAGGTAGTTTAAATCATTTAAAAGAGATTGCTATTGTGATAGAAATGGACAAATATACCGTTTAGAAGTCCCTTTTTGACACTATAATAAACATGGAAACTTACTTAATATGACTTCCGTCTCGCTTTTGACGTACACCGAGCTCATTTTGACTTTTTTGAGTCACTTGCCCATGAAATAATGCCATGACTTTTCCATATTTTACGAAGACCAATGTCAGTGCTTAGACGTTCAGTTTTCTGGCTTTTTTCCTTCTTTTTTTCTATTATATAGCTCGATAACAAGCAATAAAACTTTCATTAAATGAGTTTCCTTCAACGCCAAACAAATATAGCTGCATATAAATAGACAACAAGGCGTCGAAAGTCGAAAAATATTGTTCGCTGGACTTGATCAGCCAATCAAATCTTGCGAGAAAATGTTCTTAAAATTGTTTTGAACCTATAAGTGAAAGGTCAAAGAACAAATATTCGGACAGTACATAAAATAAAATTGAATCGACGTACTAAACAGAGCTTCCACTCGGAAGGAAATTTCCTTCCAAAAGGATATTTTGGCATTTGGAAGGAAAAATAAAAGGAAATAAGATTTGGAAGGAAATTGGAAGGAAATTCGGCCATTTCGAAGGAAAAGGGAAGGAAATTTTACAATTTAAACTTTTTCAGCAATTTCTAGTAATTTAATAATGGTTTAACACTTTATTATGAACTTTTGAGTTCAAAAACATTTATAAAAATAATACTTCGGATATTTACATAACCATCAAGGATGAATGGGGGTAATTTGGGACTTAATTAACAGGTCTTCAGTGAGCTGTGAGTGAGTAGAGTACTAGTGTACATAAATGGCTCAATTTTTTCGCGGGTTTTTAATTTTTCATAAGAATTATAACCCAAAATTAAAAAACAAACAGTCGGAAAAAGGGAAACTGTAATTTGTAAACAAAAAAAGGAATTTATATATTATGATGGCTCATATTGAGTCGTTGAGTCGACATCTAGTCAGGCTCATCAGAAGATGAAGCTTCAAGTAGTTTTCAAATGCAAACGGAGTAGAAAGCGTGCAGGACAATTGCAAGTGCCTGGTCCAAAAGCAATTTCATAAAAAAGTTGTTTAAGTACTATGTCGTTCGAGAAAACAGACAAAAAATGAGACAACAGAACATGTTTTTTCAGGATTAGAGATTCACTATTTGAATACTGCAGTACACCTTCAATTCACATCGGGAGTACGGTACAATACAAAATTTACTATACTATTTTAAACTGACATTGGAAGGAAAAGTGGAAGGAAATTTAGAATTTGGGAAGGAAATTTTGCGAAAAAAAGACAAAAACGAGAAATTTTGCTTTGCCAAAGTGGAAGCACTGGTACTAAAACAAGAAACAAAACTCGCAGTCTTTGCTATTGCCTTCGCATAAAGAAGCCAAAAATCTTGTAAACAAATATCGATAAGTAGATAGCAAACTTTTCACTGTGGGAAACGAAGTATTGCAACGATTGGACGAGAAAAACTCCAAATATAAACATGAACAAAAAACCTTTATTGCAAGTTGATAGTTCAAAGCCAAAGGTTAGTGGAATTCACAAGTTATGCGAAGACAACAAAAGTTTACAAATACGTAGCAACAGCTGACGTAAAGACACAGAATAGGAAGTTATACCAGAAGCGTAACTCGAGCAAATATTTGTCCGCGTTTTTACAAGCGATTCGTTATCAACACGCCATCCTGGCTAGTACAACCGGCACTTTGTACCTACCAAATCCTGATAAAAACTTCCGGCTGTACTAGCCAGGATGGCGTGGCCTGACGTGAGCGAGTTAAAATTTTCGTGGACGTCAAACAATAAGGGAAACGACTAGAGTTACGCTTCTGGTATAACTTCCTATTCTGTGGTAAAGATAAGAAATTTCAGGAAAATCCTGTTTTCTCCGGTTAAAATTAAGGTTATCCGACGGACAGCTATCCACCCTGCTATCCGTGCTCCGTACAACGCATTTTTATTCAGCAGATAGCTATCCATTGGATGGGAGATTTATCCATTGGATATATAGGACTTATCCACTGGATAACTTATCCACCTTTCGTACAACCGGCCCCAGAAAATCTAGACGTGGAAAACACAGGAAAATACTTTAAACTACCTATAACTAACAAAAACTATTGTAGCTAAACATTAAAAAGGTCTTTTCTACTCTCCTACGATGTCTGCAAGATCCATACAGACAGCAGATTTCCAAACAACAAACCCGGAGTCGGATTGTGTCCGATGATCGATCACGGAGTTCATCGGTTGTTTTCTATACACAAATTTAACAAATACAAATCAATCGAGAAAGAAACACAATAAATAAAGAAAGCCTATAGAAGGATACACCTTACCTGAAATTTATAATCCTCTGAACAGAGGCAAGAAATTTAACTGCAAATTCACCTCGAAATTCATTCCCTTCCTGTTGTCAAACTTCGCTGTAAAAAGTCATTAATATTGCTGTCGTGACTTATTTTACCGTTTGGTTTTTGAAAAATTGTTAACAGCATTGTTCATAACAGGTCTGTTCACATCAGGTCGAAACAGGCCTGTTGATTTCATCAGACTTGCTGCAAACTGTTAACGACAAGCCTGTTGCCACTTGTTTTCAACAGCATTGCTGCAAGCTGCGCTCATCAACTTGCTGCTGGCCCGCGGTCATCCAGTTGCGACCATGGTTGCGACAGACAGGTAGCATCAGGTCTGTCGCGGCTTGACGTATTCATCAGGGCTGAGGCAACTTGTCATCAGCTTGCGGCGGCCAGGTAAATTCCGCAACTTGCAGCAAGTCTGAGAGATTTCTGGCCGTGTATATTATCCGCATTTTACAACATTTCGGAACGAAACTTAGGAATATTACTAATTTTGTGATGCTCTTTCATGCTGTGATGGAATTTTGTCTAGACTTGTTGAGATCAAAATTTTGATTAATATAGGATTGGTCAATTTTCTTCACCGCGCGATTTAGTGAAATTTTTGAAGTTTATCTTTAAAAAAGCACAACAATTTCCCCATAATGGAGAGCAATAATCAAAATATGGCTGTATAAAGGCATTATTAGGAACTACAAAAGGCTTTATTCGTTTCATAACGGCTATTCCAGCCCCCACGTTTTTACGATATTTTTCCAATATATGTGATCCAAGCTAATCCTTTCATCAAGGAATACCCCTATAGGCGTTCGAAAGAACTTGTCTGGGGAATAGATCATTCCCATTTAGTATTTTCTTGTTCCTGAGGGTGATGTTGTAAATTATTTCTAACGAGCCACTCACTAATTTTGCTCAAATCATAGTTTAATTTATCTATAAGTTACTATGGTCAGCAGCAGAAATATAATAATATAATAATATAATGATCAATAATAATCGTTTTATTGACAACCAATTTTGCAGTTAAAACCGAATTACACTGGTTTTACAACTGTATGTAGAAGTTACAATGGTTTTACAACTATGAAATACTGTATGACTAGAGTGATGAAATAACATACGATTTAAGAATATTAATTTAAAAGTTAAGAGTTAAAAATGTCGCATGTCATATAATGTTGCTGCAGACGGCATAAAACTTTTATTGTAGCCGTGTAGCGGTCAGTTCTACAAACTGGGACCTTCAAACACCTATTATGGAGTAGATCGTGTTCGTTAATCCTAAGAGCTGGAACGAGCGAGTTTAATTTGTGTTCTGGATCAAGCGATGGAACGTTGGCTGTGAGCATTGCTCGACTGTAGGTAAAGGAAGGGTAGATAATTCGGAGATCTCTTTTCTGGATCTGCTTTATTTGGTTACTAAGGTACACAGGGAGGTTGCTGTGCCACGCTTCCCATGCATACTCAAGGATAGGTCTAACACACGCACGATAGACTTTGACTAGGACGGAGTAGGGAAGGGCGTTTCTTTTCAACAGCCGCAGGGCGTATAAACGCTTGGAAGCTTTTTTACAGATGGCATTTACGTGCAATTTCCATTTCAAGTCATTCGAGGTGGTAACGCCTAGTAGCTTAGCATGCATAACGATGTTGACTGTTTGATTGTTGATCACAATTGGTGGGTAAGAGGGAGAACTAGACGAGAAGTTCACGCGCATCTCTTTCGTCTTCGGAGCACTGTGCAGAACCTCCCACATTGTGGAATCGTCGACGAATTTGACAAGGTCTGTAGCCAGTTTGAGATCATTTACCATGATTAAAAAAAGTAAGGGACCTAGTTTTGTTCCCTGTGGAACACCAGCTTGAAATGAATATACTTCCAAACAGAGTAGGCCTGACCAATCTTTGTCCTCTGTAATCTGTTAGACAAGACGTCGGCAATCCAGTTAATAGGGAGCTTAAGCATGTAGGACGGCAACGCGACGACGACGGCAACCAATACCGGGTGGCCCAAAAAAAAGTACTCCTGTTTGATTCGTAATAACATCTAAACAAGTATAGCTTTTAAAGAGAAATAACTTGCATCAAATAGAGGAAGGACTAACTTAGACTTTGATATATTACAGTTGTATTTCACTTAAAAATTCACGGAGATATTAATCTTTAAATTGGGGAGGATATTTCTGGATGTGTCTGAAATATGCAAAAATCGGCGTATCAAATATTAATCAAGATTTGCCCGACTGAAACATGCACTATTACCAGTAAATAAATGACACTTGACAAATTGTTTATTATGAAACAAAGTATTATTATATCTACAAAA